AGTGGCCTAGCAAATGTGGCTGTTGAAAGAACTGAAAGAAAGCCATTGCAGCCCAGAAAGCAAGGTGGAAAGTGGTATGGAATGCAGCCGAAAAGGTGGGGAAGGGCCACGCCACACAGGGCCTTGTGGTTCATGTGAGGATTTTGGTCTTTGTCCCACGAATAGTGGGATACCGGCATGAGTTTTAAACAAGAGGACCATGTGCAAAAATCTTTTAATTTCAAAAGATCACTATGTACAGAGCAGTGCTGTCCAACAGAGCTTTCTGCGATGGCAGAAATGGTCTATATCTGTGCTGTTCGGAGCAACCACAAGCTACATGTGGCTGCTGAGCACTTGCAGTGTGACCGGCGCAACTGAGGGACTGGATTTTTAATTTTAACTTTAATGTAAATAGCCATGTGTGGCCAGTGGCTGCCGCGTTGGACAGCGCAGGTCTGGAAGGCATTGGAGGGAGCAGTGACGCCTTTATGGGAATCATGGCACACGGATGCCTTTTACATCTGCACATCTTCCCTTCTTGGATAAAGGCTAAGACGGGTTCCACTGTGGGGAGAATCCTCATGTTGATTTAAATATAGTAACTGGGGCCGGCCGGGTGGTGCACTGGAGAGTGCGCCGCTTGGGAGTGCGGCGGCGCTCCCGCCGAGGGTTCGGATCCCATGTGGAGACTGGTTCCCGCTCACTGGCTGAGTGCGGTGCGGGCGCAGCACCGAGGGTTGCGTTGCCGGTCAGTAAAAAAAAAAAAGACAAATAAATAAACATAGTAACTGGAACTTTTATGTTTATGTTCTTGGCTGCAGTTTAGCCTGCTCCTTCATGAAGCAGCCTTCTTCCTTCTCTTGTCCATGCTTGTTTTGTTGCCAGCACACATTGAGAAGTGACACCTTCAGCACATTTAAGTACCTGCAGTGGTGAGAGCTTTATATCGTATGACTCAGAGGGTATGTGTGTTAGCCTGTTTCTCTTGCTTATAACAAAATACCCCAAACTGGGTAATCTGTAAAGAAACAATATTTATTGCTTACAGTTTTGAAGGCTGGGAAGTCCACAGTCCAGGGAACATATCTGGTGAAAGCCCTGTTGGTGGTGACAGTGACACAGAGGTCTAACATGGCAGAATGGGGGAGCAGAGAGAGAGACTCTCACATGCTCTCATTTTAAAGCTCTCAGAACCGCACCACTGACCACCATAATTAATCCATTTACTAGGGCATGGGCCTCAGAATCTAATCACCTCCTCCAGGCCCCACCTTTTAATTACCATAATAGGATTTCCTACCCTAAGCAGTTACATTCAGTGACTTTGAGGGGCGGGGACATTCAATCCACTGCAGTATGTAAAGAAAAGCACAGTCCCTGGTGTTGAGGCTTAGAATCTAGTGAGGTAGATGTCAGTAAATGCCACGGAACAACAGGAAGGAGCGTTTTCAGTGGGGCCCCTCAGCGGGTTTGACCCCGTGGGGAAGTAAGGGCTGCTTCCAGCTGATGAAACGTGACCAAAGGCAGGAAGCATGAAATTGCTTGGGGACATGGGGAGCTCACGAGTGGGGGCCACGCTGGGGAAATACATGGTAGAGGGAAGGTAAGGAAGATCAAGTAGGAATATGCAGGTTGGTGTTGGTTTGCAGGGGGCTTTGAATGTCAGAGTTCAGGGTTATTATGGCTTTGTTACTGGCGGGTTTCTGAGGAAGGCCACAGGTAGTGGCGTACAGCGGGCAGCCTGGAGTGACATGGTAAGGAAGTCCCACTGATGGCTTTGTGTGGGAGGTGACCAGCCCTTGCCTCTAGTGGTGCTTGTAGACTTGGAAGGACAAGGGGCGGAGAGAAGCAAGGTCCTTATGGCGCATAATCCCCAGAGCACCTTCCGCATCATGTTCTGGGTGGAAGGAAGACTTTAGATTTTGGAGAGTATTTCATGGTGTCAGCAGTTTTAAATATTCAAACTTGGTGAAGCAGGATAAAAACTGATGACGTGTATTTTCTTGGCAGGTCAGTTTACTGGAAGACGTGTGTGTGTGCTGGATGAAAATCTGATTTCGTTTCTGCCGCTTCTGTGTGCCTGGAATGTAATTGTTTTGGCTTAGGACCTTCCAGGTTTGGTTTAATTCTTAACCACATACGTTTTGGATGTCGACCTGCTTAAAACTCTGTATTGATATAAATAAACGGTGTCAGAGCCCAGGGTGACCTTTCATACACTTTGGGGTTTCTGTGCCCGGTGACCATGTGCCTGAGTGTGCAGCCTCTACTTCTGACATACGCAGTTGGCAGCGCTGTCCTGAAAAGAGTGACCGACTTACAGAGCCACTCATGCAGTTCTCTGTAGGAAGTGTGAGCACCGGGGGCTCTGCGCCTCCTTAAGGAACACGGACTGTTGAGAAATGATACGCACAGGGAGATGACCACTGTGTTTGTGTCTTGACAGGGAGGGGCTTGGCTGGTGTGGTTCAGGGTAGTGGCACCCATGTTCAGAAAAAGGAGCAATTCACTGTGCATAGAATATGCCGGAAAATGACCACCAACCTTGGAACTGGTCACTTGAGCTGCATCATGGATACTGGTGGCTGCCTTTGCCTCCTCACGTGCATTTCTAACCCTGTGCAGGTGACAGCTCATGAGCTGCCACCACCCCGTACCCATAACTTAATTCCTTTCCACTTCTCACCCAGGGGTTCTCAGTGGGAGCAGAACCACCACAGCACTCCCCAGTTGCACCCACATCCCAGGGGAGCATTGTTAACAGAGACTGGGGACACTGCTGGCACCAGGCGGGTGGGGCCATCCATCACAACAGGATTCTCTCTAGTGCCTCTTGTCTTTGGAATGTTTTGCCGTCTATTTACGTGCACAAAGCATTTGTGCCTCCAGCGCCTGTGTTTTTACCTGTCATGTTTGTGGCTGTCCATGTAGTGCAAAGAGCTGACCGTCTCATGCTGTTGTCACGTTATGGTTGGGGCATTAGAGATGCACGCTTTTTATGTGGTGTGGAAAGGCCGTCTTGGACTTCTGACCTATCCATGCCAGACCCAAAG